AGCAGGAGAACTGGGGGAAAAACTGAATTTCTCTCTGGTAAAACAAACACTTCTGAAAGTTATCTTTTTAATCAGATTTTTTTCCATAAGAATTTTTTTCATTCAGACCAAACACCTGCTTAACCTGACCCTTGTGTCACCTAAGCAGGGGATTAGGGTGAACAGGGGATGGATTTCTGGATTCCCATATCCCTGGGAATAGAAATGATGATTTTAAGATTCTGAGGGTGATTTTAAGATCCAGAGATTTCTAGTGAAGCACAGGAAGCTCTCCAGGTGAACTGAATTCCCTCCTAACTCTGAAATGGAGTCACATCCCTGGCTCCACGGACCAGGTGGGGATCATGGTTAAGCACAGGAAGCTCACAGCAGGAATATGCTGGTTATTCTCAAAAATAGTGGCTCTGTCTGCACTTGGAACCTGTTATCCTTGTCTTCCAGTCATCCTGATCCAGGGAATCTGCTGGAGCTGCTTCTCTGGTGTCCACATGAGGGAGTTTTCTTCCTCTTGGAGAGATCCAGGGAGAACCAGGACGTGTGGGGCAGTGGTTTGTTTTTCCCACACTGTCCAATTCCTTTGTTTTTTATGTGCCAGCTCTGCCCTGGAGTTGGGAAGCCTGTGCAGGGTTTCATTCTGCACTTACTATGGAGATTTGCTGTGTAATTTGGCATTTTTATTCCAGTTGCTGTTACATTATGTCTAAAGTGCTTCAGACCAATGTTATTTTAGTGAGTGAGATACAGGACCATTAATCACATATTAGTTTTTAACTGCCCTGTTCTTCACAGTCAGACTTGGCTTCAAGTGCTGTCTGGCTTAATATATATATATTTATACATACATAAAAAGTAAAAGTACTCTTGGGTCCCATTCCAAACCAGGTCCCAGTGCTGGCATTTTCATGTCACTGGAATGCAATCTATTATTTCTCTATTTTTTATCTCTCATTTACTTAGATTGCCTGCAAAAACGTAATAAATGACCGTGAAAAAGCTGCTTCTGCTCTAATTAAAAATACTTTACAGTCCTTCTCGACAACAAACTCCTTGAAGGAGGATATTTTTGGCTGTGAGGTGACAGAGACAGTGTGTGGATCTGAGTCAGGGGAATCCCAATTTGTGGTGCTGATGAGTTATTAATGGAGAGCAATTGATTGTGTTTTATCCCCCTGTTTTTTTCAGTGACAAATACCTGGAGCATTTTACAGACCAGTGGAGCTTTGGTGCAGGGGGGGTATGGCCACAGCAGCGTTTATGATCCCAACACCAGATCCATTTACATCCATGGAGGTTACAAAGCCTTCAGTGCCAACAAGTACAGGCTGGCAGATGATCTGTACAAATATGAAGTCGATTCCCGGATGTGGTAAGTGGGTTTTCCTTCTTTTTCCTGTTCTCCCACCCCATATTTTTGTCTCTGGTGAACAAGAGGGTGGAGGATTTGAGAAGGGTACAGTGGTTTATGTCTGCCTGCCTTCAGGAGAGATGCTGTTCTCTTGGATCTCTTATTTTTATATCCCTTTATGAATGGAGAATCATATAATCACATCTAATCAAGGCTGTGAACGAGCCAAGCAATCCATTTTAATCTGTTGTTCCATTCAAGCTGAAAAGAGAAATATTTGATGGTTTTTTCCTTGCCAGCCTGTGCATATGAGTGCAGTTACTGCAGTCAAGTGAGGGATAATTCACTCTGCAGTTAAGACTGTAAAAGAATTTCTATTACAACCCCATTTTCTTCTGGCTCTGTAACTCCTCGAAACGCTCATTTCTTAAGCTGAAAATCTTCTGTGATTTGTTTCTGCCCAAAGGTGAGTTTTATTAAAAAGCTGTAGCCTCACTTCACGACTTGGAGCTGAAATACATTCTCCTTAGTTCTGTGGTGATTTTCTTCAAGTTCTTTCTAAAAGCTCCTGACAAAAAGGAGACTGTCTTTTGAGTTAAGACATGGAAATTTGAGTCACCCTATCTCTTTTTTTTTTTGAGGGTTAAAATACTCAGTGTTTCTGCAACAACTCTCTGTGAGTCTGTGCTGATGAGAGAAATAACGAGGGACTAATTTCCAACCTCTTCCTTCCTGCTCCCTTGTGCACAGAGTGTAACCACACTTCCTCTGTGGGTTCATTTGATCCTCCACTTCAGCCAGTTCAGCAAATCTGGCTGAACAGGCACAAAAATGTCACAGATGTGACAATGTTCTTCCAAACTGCTGCAGCACCAACTTCCTCCTGTCACATCGGCTCTGCCAGCCCGGGGAGCCCTGGGGAACAAACCCTGCAGGGAGAGGGTGGGACTGGCTGTTCCTCTCTAGCTCTGCTCTTTTTTTTGCTGTCATTGACTCCCTTATTTTATTCTTCAGTGATTTAGGCCCTCTCTTCCTTGTTA